AACTTCTCTACTTTAAATATATCAAACATTTCTGAGAAAACTCGTTGATTTTAATATTTGTTGTTATTTAATACACATTGAAGTATAACATACTAAAATTGCAACGTTCTACAGCAAACTAAAGTGTTTTTAATTAATAACTTTTTTAAAAATCAATTTTTATAATTGAACCAGTTTTCGTAGAACTTTAATGATTAAGTATGTTCATTAAGACCAAGTACTCTATCGTTGTACCAAGTAAATCGTCTAATTTTAATTTTAACAAACGTAAGAAAAACGTTTAATAATTTTCTCAAACTTTGATGAATTTTTAAAATTAAACTACTTGTCGTAAGGTGTAATAATTCAGTAAGTTCTATAAGACCATGGTATATATCGCCAAAAAAAAGTTCCATGAAAATCGCTTAAATTTTTTTTTCAACAGTTCATTACAAGAAAACGGCTCGGTAGATTTTCACCTAAAACTAATCAGTACCATTCCCAACTAATATCTTTCGAACAGTTTTTGATTTTTTAAAATCGATTCGGTAGTTTGAGCTTAAATGTAGACGAAAAGTTTAACACGTTTTTCCAAATTACAAAGAAACGGCTTTGCAGATCGTCGCACAAAACTGACAAACGATAGTCCTCACCGAAATACATCAAATGGCTTTTAAATTTCTAAAATCGGTTCAGGCATTTTTGAGGAAACGTCGATGAAAGGTCTAATTTTGACAAATGTAAAAAAAACGATATTAATTTTTACAAACTTTGAAGAATTTTTAAAATTAAACGACTTGTCGTAGGGCCGTAATATTTTAGTATGATCTATAAGACTATGGTATCTACCGTCAAAAATAATCATAAAAATCGTCAAAAAAAATTTTTAACACTTTATTACAAGAAAGGAGCCCGACCGATCTTTACCAAAAACGGCAAAAATTTACGACAAAAAATTTGTTCACACACACACACACACAGACACAAACTTTTTCCAAATTTGGTCTCATACGATTCAAAATGGCTTGAAACGTCGAAAAAACATAAACTTAGCAAATTGGATTTTTTTGATAAAAACCAACTTCTTCTGGAAGTTAAAAAAACGGTCCAAAAATCCTTAGAAATCAATCACGTGATTAATGGACCACTAGGACATAGGAAAAGATGGTATAACAAATATACCAAATTATTGAAGTCCTACAAAAAGTGGTTTGTCGAAAATAACGAACATGTTTGGAGAATTTCTACAAATTATATAATTATAGAATAATTTAATTTAATTATATAGAATTATAAGATCAGGGAGATAACTTTTTTTGAAAATACTATATATATAATCTACTGAATATTTTCTCAATTTAAATCTTTTCTATTTGAAAGTGCAATTCTTGGTGCCTTCTGGTTAATGTTTGTCAACGAAAATAATTTCATTGAAATGTCTGTCTAACTTTTTAATGGCTATCAAAAATTCTAAAATGCTAGCAATAAAAAAAAGTTATATGGCGGACACAAGAAGAATTAATTTAATTATATAGAATTTCTATAAAATTAAATTTTCGGCACAGCAACTCGGAGTCTTATAAATCACATTGATTTATTATCGATCATGCAACTAGCCAAATAGCCACTTACACCTAGTTTTTTTTATCAAAATCTCCCCCGCCTCTCATTCCTTTAAAAATCCTCGGCGTCTTTTATCCTACATGTGTATCTTTTTATCCTTCGGACGTATGAATTTTACAAAAGATTGCCTTCTTTAGGCCGAGAACAACGTCTGTATTTTTCTTTTATTGCTTTTTATTACCGAAAGACTCCTTTTCTCTTCTAGGGGTGCTCCTTTTTTATCCTCCAGTACCGGTAATTACATGCGCGAATTTATCGACAGTAATAAAAACGTGAAATGAAAAAAAAAAAATTTCTAGGGCTACCATACGTAGATAGAATTGAATTAAAAATTAACGAATCGAAGAAACGGGGGTAGTAATAGATACTTTTGGGGAAAATTATGTCTTAGTCGACCCGCTGTACTATTTGTAGTACAAGGAAATAGACTATTTAGTTGTTAAATGAAATTTTTCCACTGAATTAAATTAAATTTATTAACTTCCCCCCTAGGGTAGTTATAGTAATGGGCCAAAAATCGAAAATGAAAATTTTTGCATTTCTTGACGTTTTGAAGGTTTCTGAACATTTTACTGGCATACCTCAGAAAAAATAGATGTGTTTATTTTGTATGTCCGCATTTTTTCGTCCACGTTTTCGGGCGCACGGATTAACCGATTGGAATGATTCATTTACCATTCGATCCCTATTGATAGGGAGATGTGCTGATTAGTTTTTGGCAAAGGCAGGTCCAGCCGTTACGGAGATACAGAGCAAAGAGTGCAGAAAATAGAAATCGAGTTTTTGAGAGAACAGAGTATCGGATTTGAATGATCTAAAAATCATTGTATTCGTAATGATTGGGAGAAGAGGTGATTAGTTTTTGGCAAAAGCAGGTCCAGTGGTTTCGGAGATACAGAGCTAAACGTGCAAAAAATGGCAGTTTTTGAGAGAAATAAGCGTCCGATTTGAATGATTCAAAGAACTTTCTGCTTGTCTTAACAAAATAATTTTTGAAAAAAAAATTTGTTTCAATTTTTTTCCAAAAAATATTTTTTTTGTGTATCGAAATTAATTCAGATTTTATTTGTAATTCTGACTAAAGTTCTAATATACTTTAAACAAATATTTTCATCTTAGCAATTCAGTTTATATAATTCTTAAAAATTAGACAATGTTACAATATTTATAATAATCTATTTGAAAACTTTCAGTATTCCTCGAACATTTCGTTACGGTACGGGAAGTTCCAGCAATTAGCCTTAAGGCACATTGCCATACACGCCACTAGTTTAATAAATAATTCAGTTAAAAATGTATAAAGGAAACTTAATGAAAAATAAGTTCAATTAATAAAAAATCATCAATCAACTGCATAATATATAAAAAGTTACTAGCTGTAAGTGGAATTCTGTCTTAAGGCAATTAGGGCATCGTGCCTTAAGGCAAATTGCTGGAACTTCCCGTACCCATAATTATTATTTTTTTTAAAAACGATTAACATTTTTGAAAAAAAAATTACTTCGAAAAAATTAGACTTTTGAAAAACTATAAATTTGATAAAAAATTACCATATTTTGAAAAAAAAAATTTTATTTGAAAAAAAAAATTTTTTTTTTGAAAGAAAAATTTTTTTTTTGAAAACAAAAATTTTTTTTGAAAAGAAAAATGTTTTCTTCATTTTGACATATTTTGGAAATTCTGAACTTTTTTTCAATGCAATCGTACTGCTTGAACTGCATAGAGACGAAATGTCACAGCGCAAGTGCCGCGCCGCCGCCTAACGCATAAGCATTGGTACGGAACCCATAGAAATGTGAAAAAAATTATACTTATTGTTAAAATCTCTATAAAATATCTGATAATTTGATGTGCATATGTCTAATGATCATTTTTGACCGCCAAATGGCATTTTCTTTTACTTTTTTCATTAGATCTCCGAAACCGCTAGACCTGCCTTCATGAAAATTGGATCAATTCTTCATCTTGTCAATACAAGTAAAATATTTTTTGAATTATTCAAATCGGACGCTCCGTTCTCTTAAAAACGGATGTAACGTTTCTGGCACTTTTTGCCCCGTATCTTTGGAACGGCTAGACCTGCCTTCGCCAAAAACTAATCAGCACGTCTCCTTATCAATACGAATCGAATGTTTTTTGAATTATTCAAATCGGTTGATCCGTGTTCCCGAAATCGTCGACGAAAATTTGTATCCGCACATACATACACACACATACATACATACATACATACATACATACATACATACATACATACATACATACACACACACACACACACACACACACACATACATCCATTTTTTCTAAGGTATGCCAAAATGTTCAGAAACCTCTGAAACGTAAAGATATATAAAAATTTTCATTTTCGATTTTTTTGCGATTACTATAACTTGCCCTACGGGAAGTTAAAAATTGCATGTTGAATGAATATATTGTAATTAATTAATATAATATAATAAAATGTTAAAATTGCATGTTGAAAGAATATGTTGTAATATATTCATTCATAAACATTTATTTCAAAAAGACTTTTTTAGAGAAAAAGAAGTAAATTTTTGTCAAAGTTTATATGTACTCAAAAATCTAATTTTTTAAAGGTAAATTTTTCTCAAAAATGTTGATCTTTTTTAAAAAAGATATTATTTTTGCTGCGAGAAGTTCCAGCACAGACGAAAAGTGTATAAAATTGCATAAAGCAGCCAAAAATTGTATAAAATTGCATAAAGCAGCCAAAAATTGCATAAAGCTGTAGGAAATTGTATAAAATTGCATAAAACAGTTGAAAATTGCATAAAGCTGTAGGAAATTGTATAAAATTGTGTAAAATTGAATACAACAGTCAACAATTGCATAAAACAGATAATGATTTTATAAAACAGTCGAAAACTGCAGAAAACAGTCGAAAATTGCATAAAGTAGTGAAAATTGCACGAAACAGTCAAAAATAGCATACAACAGTCAAAAATTGCATAAAACAGTCGAAAATCGTATAAAACAGAGAATGATTTTATAGACGATGGATTTAACAGCCGAAAATTGCATAAAATTGCATAAAACAGTCGAAATTGCATGTTGAATGAATTAAGACCAATTTCTCAAAATACTTGATCATAAAGTGATTAAACATTCTGCAAGTTCAGAAAAACAGCAAATAAACAAAAAGTGTTAAAAACTTGTAAACAAAATATTGTTTAAAATTAAATCTCTCAGAACCTGCATCAAGATTTTGTTAAGAAAAAAGATTCCCTTAAGGAAAACAGGACTTTGGGTTATTGACAACAAATTCATAAAAATTATAAAATATATATTCTCATTTATATAGTCATATACAATACTATAAAATAATAAACAAAACTTGAATACATACAACATCTCATGTATGTACAATTGTTGTGCAGCACTGTAAAAACTATTTACAGCCTATTTAAACTGATAATTATAAATTTAAATGAAGAGAACTTTAAAACAGTTATATATAATATAACCATAATTAACATAGACTCCTGATAATTCCAAACTTTTATCAATTATAAATAATCAAATTTTCCTTTAAAACTATCCATCATCACTCTGTCTTTAACAACAATTAAATAAAAATTTATTCATCGTCTTGTTTTTTATCTTTTTTCTTCTTTTTCTTTTTCTCGGCAGGTTGTGGGACTTCCGTCTCCTCCATCGTCTCTTCTAAGACTTGTTCAGGATCTTCCTGTCGCTTCTTTTTTTTCTTTTTCTTCTCGGAGGGCTCAGCTTCGACTTCCATTTCTTCAGCAGCAGGTTCTTCGGAAGCCTCCTGCTTTATTTTCTTCTTTTTCTTTTTCGGTTGCTCCTCGGCTGTGGGCTCATCTTGGGCCTCGAGCTAAAAGGAGACTCAGTTGTTAAAGGATCGAGGGAAATGTGATACGTGGTGTGAAAATGATGAATGGTAAATTGTAAATGATACAGAAATCCCATCTCCACAACTGCAGCATATCAGAAGCATTTTGCTTTAAAAGTGATCCAGAGTTTTTTTTGTTTAACTTCAATTACTTTACTTTTACAATTTTTTTTTTTCATATAGTAAATATTAATTTACTTTTGCTTTTCATGCAATACAGTCGAAAAATATACAATACAGTCGAAAAATGTATAAATTTGTGCAGAACAGTCTGAACTTGTATTAAACAGTGCAACACAGTTCTAAATTTAACAAAATTGTACGAAACAGTATAAAATTATCTAAAATGGCTAAAACAGTCCAAAATGTATAAAATTATCGAAAATTGTACAAAACAGTCAAATTATTTAAAACGTCCAAAGACAGTCAAAAACAATTCAAAGTTATATAAAACTGTTAAAAACCGTCGAAAATTGTATTAATTTGCATAAAACAGTCGAAAATTATATAAAACAGTCGAAAATTGCATAAAGCAGTCAAACATTGTATAAAATTGCATAAAATAGTCTAAAGTTGCATAAAGCAGTCGAAAATTGTATAAAATTGCATAAAACAGTCGAAAAATCGCATAAAGCAGGCGAAAATTGTATAAAACAGTCCAAAATTGTATAAAATTGCATAAAACAGTTGAAAATTGTATAAAATTGCATAAAACAGTTGAAAATTGTATAAATTTGCATAAAACAGTCGAAAACTGCATAAAGTAGTCAAAAATTGTATAAAACCATATAAAACAGTCGAAAATTGCATAAAAAAGTTAAGAACTGTATAAAATTTCATAAAACTGTATAAAATTGCATAAAACTGTATAAAATTGCATAAAACTGTATAAAATTGTATAAAACTGTATAAAATTGCATAAAACTGTATTAAACTGCATAAAACAGTCAAAAGTTGTATAAAATTGCATAAAATTACATAAAACAGTCGAAAATTGTATAAAATTGCATAAAATAGTCGAAAGTTGCATAAAGCAGTCGAAAATTGTATAAAATAGCATAAAACAGTCAAAAGTTGTATAAAATTGCATAAAATTACATAAAACAGTCGAAAATTGCATAAAGTATTCAAAAATTGCATAAAACAGTCGAATATTGACAATGATTTTATAAAACAGGAGCATTTAAAGTGATCCAAAGTTCTTTTTGTTTAACTTCATTGGCTTTACTTTTACAAATTTTTTTTTCATATAGTAAATATGAATTTTGCTTTTGCTTTACATGCAATACAGTTGAAAAATGTACAATACAGTCGAAAAATGTATAAATTTGTGTAGAACAGTCTGAACTTGTATTAAACAGTGCAACACAGTTCTAAATTTAACAAAATTGTATAAAATTGCATAAAACAGTCGAAAATTGTATAAAACTGCATAAAACAGTCGAAAATAGCATAAAAAAGTCAAAAATTGCATGAAGCAGTCGAAAATTGTATAAAATTGCATAAAACAGTCGAAAATTGTATAAAATTGCATAAGACTGTCGAAAATTGCATAAAACAAACGATGATTTTATAAGACAGTCGAAAAGTATATAAAACAGTCCGAAAATTGTATAGAATTGTCAAAAATAGTCAAAAATAATCCAAAATTGTCTAAAACAGTCTAAAATCGATATAAACAGCGTAAAACAACTGTAAACCATTAATTAATTGTCGAAAATTGTCAAAAACAGTCGAAAATTGCATAAAGCAGTCGAAAATTGCAAAAAACACTTGAAAATAGTATAAAACTGCATAAAACAATCGAAAATTGTATAAATTGCATATAACAGTCGAAAATTGTATAAAACTGCATAAAATTGCATAAAACTGTATAAAATTGTATGAAACAGTCGAAAACTGTATAAAATTTCATAAAACTGTATAAAATCACATAAAATTGTATAAAACAGTTGAAAAGTGTATAAAATTGCGTAAACTGTATAAAATTACATAAAATTGTATAAAATATCATAAAATAGTCAAAAACTGTATAAAATTGCATAAAACAGTCGAAAATTGTATAAAACAGACAATGGTTTTATAAAACAGTCCAAAATTGTCAATAATTGTCAAAAATAATCCAAAATCGATATAAACAGCCTAAAACAACTGCAATTTATTATAATTTATATCCATAATTTAATTGTCGAAAATTGTCAAAAACAGTCGAGAATCGTAGAAAATTGCACAAAATAGTAAAAAAATTGTACTAAACGGTCGAAAAAGCTTAAAACCATTTTCATACAGAATCAATAATTACTTATTTGTCGAAAATTGTATTAATAAATCCAATACAGCCAAAAACCGTATACAATTGCACAATACAGTGGAAAAATAATAATATAATAATACAATACTGTCTAAAAATGTATAATACAGTCGAAAACAGTCTGAAACCAATTTGAATAGTCTAAAGTCAAATTAAACAGCCTAAAACAATTTTAAACCATTAATTAATGGTTAAAAACAGTCGAGAAGTGTATAAATTTGACAAAAAGAGTACGAAATTGTCAAAAACAGTCCAAAATCTTGTAAAATTCTCAAAAACAGTCCAAAATTGTATAAAACAGTCGAAATTGTCAATCTAAAATAATCTAGATAATTATAACACTAATGGATCAAAATGAAAATGATCTTGATCGATGAATATTAATAATAATAAAATACACACGCAATTTAAATTATTACTTACAAAAGCAGCAATTACATGCAACTTGATTACAAACAGTCCTAAATGTATAAAATTATCGAAAATTGTACAAAACAGTCCAAAACAAGTTTAAAATTATTTAAAATGGCCAAAGACAGTCGAAAACAATTCAAAGTTGTATGAAACTGTTAAAAACCATCGAAAAGAGTCAAAAATGGTATAAAACAGTCCAAAATGGTATAAAACAATCCAAAATTGTATAAAATTGTTTGAAAAAGGGTACAAAATTGTCAAAAACAGTCTAAAATGTATAAAATTATCTAAAATTGTACAAAAGAGTCCAAAACAAGTTTAAAATTATTTAAAATGGCCAAAGACAGTCGAAAACAATTCAAAGTTGTATAAAACTGTTAAAAACCATCGAAAAGAGTCAAAAATGGTATAAAACAGTCCAAAATGGTATAAAACAATCCAAAATTGTATAAAATTGTTTGAAAACGGTACAAAATTGTCAAAAACAGTCTAAAATGTATAAAATTATCTAAAATTGTACAAAAGAGTCCAAAACAAGTTTAAAATTATTTAAAATGGCCAAAGACAGTCGAAAACAATTCAAAGTTGTATAAAACTGTTAAAAACCATCGAAAAGAGTCAAAAATGGTATAAAACAGTCCAAAATGGTATAAAACAATCCAAAATTGTATAAAATTGTTTGAAAAAGGGTACAAAATTGTCAAAAACAGTCTAAAATGTATAAAATTATCTAAAATTGTACAAAAGAGTCCAAAACAAGTTTAAAATTATTTAAAATGGCCAAAGACAGTCGAAAACAATTCAAAGTTGTATAAAACTGTTAAAAACCATCGAAAAGAGTCAAAAATGGTATAAAACAGTCCAAAATGGTATAAAACAATCGAAAATTGTATAAAATTGTTTAAAAACGATTCAAAATTGTCAAAAACAGTCTAAAATGTATAAAATTATCGAAAATTGTACAAAACAGTCCAAAACAAGTTTAAAATTATTTAAAATGACCAAAGACAGTTGAAAGCAATTCAAAGCCGTATAAAACTGTTAAAACCATCGAAAAGAGTCAAAATGGTATAAAACAGTCCAAAATGGTATAAAACAATCCAAAATTGTATAAAATTGTTTGAAAAAGGGTACAAAATTGTCAAAAACAGTCTAAAATGTATAAAATTATCTAAAATTGTACAAAAGAGTCCAAACAAGTTTAAAATTATTTAAAATGGCCAAAGACAGTCGAAAACAATTCAAAGTTGTATAAAACTGTTAAAAACCATCGAAAAGAGTCAAAAATGGTATAAAACAGTCCAAAATGGTATAAAACAATCCAAAATTGTATAAAATTGTTTGAAAAAGGGTACAAAATTGTCAAAAACAGTCTAAAATGTATAAAATTATCTAAAATTGTACAAAAGAGTCCAAAACAAGTTTAAAATTATTTAAAATGGCCAAAGACAGTCGAAAACAATTCAAAGTTGTATAAAACTGTTAAAAACCATCGAAAAGAGTCAAAAATGGTATAAAACAGTCTAAAATTGTACAAAACAATCGAAAATTTTATAAAATTGTCAACAAAATGGAAAATTGTATAAAATTGTCGAAAACAGTCTAAAATCGTATAAAATACTCCAAAACTGTATTAAACAGTCAAATACAGTTCAAAATTCTATAAAATTGTACAAAATAGTCCAAAATTGTACAAAACAATGTACAAATTACCTAAAACTTGTATGAAATTGTACAATACAGTCGGAAACAGCTCAAAATCATTATGAAACAATTTTAAACTATTAATTAGTTGTCGAAAATTGTATCGAACAGTCCAATTAAGTCCAAAATTGTACAATGCAAATCCAAAATTGCATAAAATAGTCAAAAACTATCAAAAACAGTCGAAAAGAAATTTAAACAGTCGAAAAGAAATTTAAACAGTCGAAAATTGTATAAAACAGTCGAAAATTGTATAAAACAGTCGAAAATTGTATAAAACAGTCGAAAATTGTATAAAACAGTCGAAAATTGTATAAAACAGTCGAAAATTGTATAAAACAGTCGAAAATTGTATAAAACAGTCGAAAATTGTATAAAACAGTCGAAAATTGTATAAAACAGTCGAAAATTGTATAAAACAGTCGAAAATTGTATAAAACAGTCGAAAATTGTATAAAACAGTCGAAAATTGTATAAAACAGTCGAAAATTGTATAAAACAGTCGAAAATTGTATAAAACAGTCGAAAATTGTATAAAACAGTCGAAAATTGTATAAAACAGTCGAAAATTGCATGAAACTGCATGAAACAGTCAAAAATTGTATAAAACGGTCCAAAACAAGTTTAAAATGATTTAAAATGGCCAAAGACAGTCGAAAACAACCCAAAGTTGTATAAAACTGTTAAAAACCATCAAAAACAGTCGAAAAAGGTATAAAACAATCCAAAATTGTACAAAACAATCGAAAATGGTATAACATTGTTTAAAAACGGTACAAAATTTTAAACTATTAATTAGTTGTCGAAAATTGTATTGAACAGTCCAATGAAGTCCAAAATTGTATAAAATAGTCAAAAACTATCAAAAACAGGCGAAAATAATTTAAAAAGTCTGAAACCGATTTAAAAGTCTAAAACAGCTTAAAACCATTATCAAACAGTTTTAAACCATTTAAAACAGTTGTGAATAAATCGAAATAATTATATAACACTAAAGGACCAAAATGAAAATGATCTTGGATCAATGAATATTAATATTAATAAAATACACATGCAATTTAAATTAATACTTACAAAAGCAGCAATTACATGCAACTCGATCAAAAAATAATAAGCACTACACACTGATACACTAAGTATTAATAAATTTATAAAAAACAAATGTTATGGGGCACGAAGTTTACAAATAAAAATGATATAAACACTCTTCACCGAATAAAATGATAAATGAAAATGTGATCGCGATGTAAAATGCACAAAAAATGTGTTTTAAATGATATGTGGTACATATTACGAACATTAAAAGGCACAACTAGTGGGAAATTTTCAAGAAATCGAATTTTCAATTTTTCCATATTTCGATAAGGTTATACATTTAAAAATAACATACCAAAATTTTAAATCGATATCATAAATAGTTTTTGAGTCACAGTCATTTAAATAGTATATATGTAGTATATAGTATAACGATCATTTTATCTTTAAACGCATTTTTCTCGAAAAAGCATTTTCCGAATTTGCCGCAACAATTACTCAAAAACAAATTATCCGATCACTATCAAATTTTTTTACATGTTCTATATATAGTTGTCCGTAAAATGAACTATCGATTTTTTGGTCGGATCAAAAATCGAATTTTTGGACCAAAATTTTGGGTAAAACTCGACATTTTTTTCAATTCAAGTCAATTTTTTATTTATTTTTTTTATCGTAGGTCATTTTACAGACATTATTATCTAGTTTACCGAGTTTTTTTTTTTTAAATTTCATCCACGTAGAAGGCCGGAATCACTGCAGCAGTGAAGGGCCGTTGGAGATCGACGATAACTTAAAAAATATTTAATTTTTTTCCTCAAAAAATTTACTATGTATTCTTAAAACATGTGTGAATATATTCCTAAACTTATGAAATGTTTGATAAAGTATTTTTTTTAATATAAAGTCCCAAAAATCCCCTTTTTTTAGGCGGTTACACTAGTTGTGCCCCTTAAGTTTTATATTAAATAATGCACAACGCATGCAATGAGTTCTATTAAAGTCTACAATAAGCGATAAGTATTTTTCCAAGGCGATGATAACGAATTATTTCCGAATAAATGATGGTGTAGATGTATAATATAAATTATCACTAACCTTAATTTTCTTCTTTTTAGGCTCTTTAATTTCAGCTCCAGCATCTTCGTCCTTAACTTCAGCTTTTGTTTCGGATTCTGATAATTTTCTCTTACCAGATGTACCGGCTATTGTAAAATCGGCAGCCGCTGGATAATGTTTCACTTCACTGAAATAAAATAAACAAAACCATGAAATACTCCCAAATTTTTTATATTTAATAGATAGTTGTGTATTTTGTTTTGACTTGCAAAAACAGTTTTGACTAGTAAAATGTCTTAGACAGATCAAAACCGGTGAAGAAATCAATATTTATTCTACGACACACTCAAATTACACTGAATAAGCTTCAAATTCAGCATAAGGAACTGATGTCGAATGTAAAACATGATAATATTCTGTATGATAGGGAATGCAATACCGGTATACCGAAATACCGGTAAACCGCCCGATTTTTCTAAAGGTATTTACACCGGTATTTTCGGTATTTTTACATAATCGCTTTTCGATACATAATACACTAAAGTTTAAATTTCTCGGAACAAATTCATCTTTAAATTCCTTAATCGCATAAACAGCTATATCTTCAAGTGATTCTATAAGATAAACAAATGTCAAATATTATCTCAACTCGTCATTAAACTGAATATTTATTGCTTTCCAAAGGGCTTCATATCGTGTTACAATAAATAAAATCGAACTGATAGATGATGATGTTTGTTTTATCTTTTGTAAAAATGTAACGGTTTTTCAAGTGATATTTGCGCCAAAATATTTTATATCATACAGATTACCCCTGCGTAAGCTTTATTATTTTCTAACTTTATACATAATTATGATAATGACTAAATATTTTTGCTTCTTATTACAATTATAAAATAATATTTTTCGAAAACGTTTAGAAGTTTGAAAATACTATAGAACCATTATATTGTTTTAAATAAAAATACTCTACAATTATAGTATGTTATCATTTATCTTCATAAAGTATCCGATCTTAAATTAGTGTAGAAAAAATACTTTTTTAAAGTCTTTAAAATATTGGAAATTATGCTAATTTAACACATCGGATACAGACAATACAGTTTATTAACTTCCCGTAGGGTAGTTATAGTGATGGGCCGAAAATTGAAAATGAAAATTTTTGCATTTCTCGACGTTTTGAAGGTTTCTGAACATTTTACTGGCATACCTCAGAAAAAATGGATGTATGCGGATAAAAAAATTTCTGTCGACGTTTTCGGGCGCACGGATCAACCGATTTGAATGATTCAAAAAACATTAGATCCCTATTGATAAGGAGATGTGCTGATTAGTTTTTGGCAAAGGCAGGTCCAGCCGTTACGGAGATACGGAGCAAAGGGTGCAGAAAATACTAATCGAGTTTTTGAGAGAACGGAGTATCGGATTTGAATGATCTAAAAAAACATCAAATTGTAATGTTCGGGAGAAGTGGTGATTAGTTTTTGGCAAAGGTAGGCCCAGCGGTTTCGGAGATACAGAGCTAAATGTTAAAAAATGACAGTTTTTGAGAGAACTAATCGTCCGATTTAAATTATTCAAAGAACTTTCTGCTTGTTTCAACAAAATAATTGCTTTAGTAAAAAAAAAATTTTGTTTCTAATTTTTTTTTTCAAAAAATATTTTTGTAATTTTTGATTAAAAATTCAAAAAATCACCCAGGCTAAGCACAGTCTAAGCGCCACTCTGGTACAAATGTTTAGCCAAGTGCGTTTAGACTGATTTTGTACTGGAGCGATTTTCCAATTTGCGAAAACTATTGAAAAATGTGAAAATGCCGCCAAGCTAAGCACAGTATAAGCGAAAATGTCGCACAGAATTATTTGCAAATGCTTGTTTAGACTGTGACTATACGGGAGCACTTTTTCAAATTTTGTGTAAATTTAAGACAACTTTTTCAATTTTTTTGAAATTGAATTCGAAATGAAATGACGATTGTTAATGTTCTGGAGATAAATTGATTTATGATTTATGATTTACATTTGATTTGCTCAGATATAACAATAAGATAGCAAAAATAATGAAAGTTACAGTATTTGTAATAATATATTTGAAAACGTTTGAAATTTCTCAAATATTTCATTATGGTATGGGAAGTTCCAGCAATTTGCCTTAAGGCACGATGCTATACACCACTAGTTATAATAATGTAATATAATCTTTTGTGAGTTTTTGGTCTTTCTTACTCGTATGTTTAATTTTAGTAAAAAGAACTCAATATACTTGATAATGATGATGAGTTAATTAAATTGGATATAATTTTGTTAAAGTATTATAAAAAAAAATAAACTTATTGTTTTATTTTTCAGTTGAATATAGTAGTAGTATATATATATATATATATATATATATATTTATTAAATTTGTACTAGTAACTTCCAATATTGTTTACATTTGTTTAAGATAATAAAAATGCCGGTATTTTGGTTTTAAAATGAAAAATTACCAAAATACCGGTATTGAAAATTTTTAACGGTATTGCATTCCCTAGTCTCAAACACAACTAGACAATCTCGAACAATTATCAATAATTTTCAATAATTTTAAACGTACCTCTTCGAATGGTATTTTTCAAATTTGGCCTTCGCCTTGCCGGTGCCACTGATCTTCCTCAAATTGCCTTCTTCTAAAAGCCTCAACCTCGCCTCGAGTTTAACTTTGTGCTCGGCTCCTAATTCGTAACCAGTTTCTTCACCAAAAGCATCGAGCCTTGTAGCCAGGGCTGCTTTGGCAGCCAACATCCTGGACATCTTACCTAAGAGGTAAAGGAATAAGATATATTAATCTTATATATAAAAATAAATCGCAAAATGCGTTGGTAAGCGCATAACTCAACAACGCCTGAACCGATTTGGCCAATTATTTTTTTAAAATGTTTGTTGAAGTTCTTAAGGCGAGAAAAAATCGAATAATTGCCGGGAAAACCCTAAAAACAGCCCCTTTCTTTTTCTCATACAAAAGTTATCTAACTAAAACGTAGAATCGATTTGAGCTTCATTGGTATTATATAAAGTTCATATTAAATTACAAGCACTTACTGTACGATTATGCGGATTTTGATAAATCTTTCTGAAGTTTGTCAAGGAAATTTTCTAGGATGTGTTATTATAAAGTACTGGGATGTATGTACAATATTGTGGAAATAAATGAAAAAAATTGCAAAAAACGACATGTCATTGTTTGCATTAAAAACAAATGAAAAACAAATTTCAATTTACTTATGAACCTAGACAATATTAGAATATGTATAATAAATTTATGATTATGAATAAGAAAAATGAAATGTCTACATTATTATTGCCAAAAAGCAGCTGAAATGTGCCAGAAATTAAAATAATATAAGATACAGTACATGTATGGCAGATTGAATGATACACATATGAACAGGATATGACAAATTAATACATTTAAAATATGAAATTAAGTATTAATCAGGGCAGGTCCTACCCTTTAATGCAATGCATGCGAAAAATACGCGCGCACGCATTAGGGGGCGCCAACACAAGATTCGGATATTAAATTTTCAATATGGCTTTTTTTCAATATATAATTTCTTTGCATTTTTTACTAATCTTGCCACAATATTTTTAAAACTCGTAAAAAATTCACTTTATAACAACATATGGGAAAGTAAAGATGAATACATACAATTCAGTCTTCACGATATCGATTAGAAGAAGTTTAAGATGCAATTTTGGGCATCTTAAATAATGAAAAATTAAATTAATTTAATCCAACATGAAGTATCAGTGCTATGTTATGGTTATGATTATGTTATATTGCTGGAAAGACCCTAAAAACAGCCCTTTTCTTTTTCTCATAAAAACGTTTTCTAACTAAAACGTAGAATCAATTTGAGCGTTAAAATTCTTCTGTAATGGCGTATGAAATGATAATCCTGAACGATTATTCGAATTTTGATAAATCTTTCTGAAGTTTGTTATGAGAATTTTTTAGGATTTTTTGAATTATAGAAACATAGTTAGATTTTAGAAATAAATGGCAAAAATTATAAAAAACCGCTTATCATTCATTGACATTGAAAATATTTGAGGCATTGTTGGGCATTGAAAAGACTGTCATTTGCTATTACCTTTAAAATAGTATATTACGAGTTTTGGTTAAATCAGAATTTGAATTCTAATCAAATTAATGCGAGGGGAGGTGGCGGAGTGCAAATTGTCTTCACTTCTGAACTTTAGATTAAGATTACCCTCTTACGAGCACAGTAAAATAATTCACAGTGTACATGCTTTTTCTTCTCCATTTACTGCAATAATTTTGTTGATCGTAGGTTGAATAGAGCACATGTAAACAGGATTTTACAAATTAATTCACTTCAAACATGAACTTAAGTAATAATGTATATTGAATTATTCGTGAGAAAAATGTAATTTTGATATTAAAATTACTAAAAGCCAGGGTACGAAATTATAAAAATTATAGGCAACACTTTTGAAGCAATTATTTTGGGTAGAAAATACCCAGGTAATATTTGTACCTTAACCGCAAATGCTATATATTAATTCTTTCTAAATTTGTTATACCTTTCAAAAGAGCTCTTATGCTATTTCTATAAATACATCACAAAGGCAGACGATGATTTTTTCTGTGACAAATTTGGAAAATCAATATTTTAGTCGTGAATAAACAAAAAATCATTCATTTATACATTCACATCTACAGGTATGACTAAAAATATTGTATAACCTTTGGCATTAAAATAAATCGAGCTATTGGAAATAAAATTTGTTTTATAAATTGCCGTGTATAATTTTTGATTTACAATTTTATTGAATATATTTTAATATTTGTTAAAGGGATAATTAAAGTGTTAACTGTGGGAATTGAGAATCATCATTTTATTTGAAGCAGTTCTACATTTAACATCACTTATATCTTGGCGTAAATAGTAATTTGAAAAACAATAATTATTATTTTTAACTGAATGGTAAATGTAAGTATAGGATATTGAAAAAAATGTAGATGTGGGTACAAGACGTCTGTCGGGCTATCTAGTAAGGGATCGCTCAAGTATTACGTAAGCAGATTTATTACAATTATTCACCACCACCCCCCCACTCCTTTGTCAGCAAAAGTAAGCAAATTTCTTACCAAAAACAAGCAAAATAAGCAAATCAATAAGCCCCCCGCCCAACCTATAGTGCTTACGTAATACTTGAACGGCCCCTAAATAATAAAATCAAATAAATTATATTGTATTTTTTTCTCCCCTTACCTTTATTTTTGGTGCTGGATTGTCCCACAAGTTGCGAGTGGTAAATCAAACCATACTTAGGAGTATCCTTCTTGGTCTTCAGGGCTCTGAACAAAGCTTTTTCAGCACCCAAAATCTGTATCGTCGACGCAGGATGTTTGGCCAAATTAATCAAACTTCCTGCATGTGCAATCAGTCTGGCACCAACATTATCACCGACCAAAACCGATAAATTCGGAGCCATGGCCATCATCCTCATCTTCAGATACTCGGACAAATGTGCCCTGTAGTCATTGATGGACAAGATTTCATCGCACAAGTTTTGAATATTCATAACATCGTCGTCGGAAATTTCGGTGCCCATGGAAATCTCGGCGGCTTCCTTGACTTTGTCCTCGACTTCTTCGGGTAAAATGTCTGATAGGTCAGTTGTTGCCATTTTATCACGTGTGCCAACTAATTTTACGGTCCTTACATAAGCAATATTGTCTGCTATGAGTTTGCTGAGTTCGGGAAAATGCCAACCGTACCATTCACGACATCTCATAATATAGTTATTCAACTCTTTATCCAGATCATCCAGGAGACACTGCGCTTGTATAATCATAGTATCTATTTTATCAGGCGAAAACTTCAATTTATATCTACTCAAAGAATGAGCCAGACCCAAAGCCATAGCCGTCATCTCTTTTTTAGGCAAACCAGCCAACAGAGAATCCATTTGCGATCTTATACATCTCATCAGTTCCTGGACAGAAGTGTTGGAGACGCATTGTAAGCTGAATTTGTCCTTGATGGCACTTCCTAATTTGGCATCGGCGACCAGGAGCTGGTCTTGCAAGTCTTTGTCGACGTGTTTTTTGAGGACTTTTTTCAAAGGTTTGGAGATTTTGCCTTCGACGGCCGCCGTTGTGGCTGCCAAGGCTTCTGTGGTGTCCGCGAATTTTTCGAAGTGCTTTAATTTAACACTGAAAGGGAAAAAGAAATAAAGAGGTGATATTTTGCCAAGAAACAATATGTGTAAATAGTCGATTAATAAATAATAAATCCCAATAAATTCGTTCATGCGATTAATGAAGTGCTTAAACCTATATCTGATAAAAGTAAAATTTTAAATATAAATAGGTTAACAAGTGGGGCACATTGCATCGTGCCTTAAGGCAAATTGCTGGAACTTGCCGTACCAAAAATTACTTTTTTTTAAAAAGATTAACATTTTTGAAAAAATTTACTGTGAAAAAATTAGATCTTTGAGAAACCATAAATTTTTGACAAAAATTTACTTTTCAAGACTTTGAAAAAAAATTGTTTTCTTTGTTTTGAAACATTTTGGAAATTCTGAACTGTTTAACTTCCCCCGTAGGGGTAGTTATAGCAATGGGCCGAAAATCAAAAATAAAAAATTTTGCATATCTCGACGTTTTAAAGGTTTCTGAGCATTTTGCTGGCATACCTCACAAAAAATGGATATGTGCGTGTATGTATATATGGATTCAATTTTTCATCCACGTTTTTGGGTGCACGTATCAACCGATTTGAATGGTTCAAAAAACATTTGAACCCTATTGGTAGGGAGATGTGCTGATTAGTTTTTAGCAAAGGCAGGTCCAGCCTTTATCATATAAATTAGATAATAAAAAGTTAGGCCATTTGCTTCATATTTTTATTAACAAAATTAGAACTAGCTGTAAGTGAAATTCTGTCTTGAGGCAATTATGGCATTGTGCCTTAAGGCAAATTGCTGGAACTTTCCGTACCGTAACGAAATGTTAGAGGAATACTGAATGATTTCAAATAGATTATTGTAAATATTGTAACATTGTCTAATATTTATAATAATTATATAAACTGAATTGCAGAGTTGAAATTATTTGTAAAGTATATTAGAACTATAGTCAGAATTGCAAATAAAATCTGAAATATTTTCTATATACAAAAAACTTAAAAAAAAACTAAAAAAAAAAAAAGTTGGAACAAAATTTTTTTTTCCAAAATCAATTATTTTGTTAACACAAGCAGAAAGTTCTTTGAATCATTTACATCGGACGCTTAGTTCTCTCCAAAACTGCCATTTTTTAAACATTTAGCTCCGTATCTTCGAAATGGCTGGGCCTGCCTTTGCCAAAAACTAATAAACACTTCTCCCAATCATTACTAATTCAATGTTTTTTAGATCATTCAAACCGGATGATCCGTTCTCTCAAAAAGTCGATTTCTATTTTCTGCACTCTTTGCTCCGTACCTCCGTAACGGCTGGACCTGCCTTTGCCAAAAACTGATCAGCTCTTCTCTCTATCAATAGGAACCGAATGTTTTTTGAACCATTCAAATCAGTTGATCCGTGCGCCCGAAAACGTGACTGGAAATTTGTATCCATACATACATACACACACACACGAATCGATTTTTTCTGAGGTATGCCAAAATGTTCAGAAACCTTCAAAACGTCGAGGAATGTAAAAATTTTCAATTGCGATTTTCGGCCCATTACAATAACTTACCCTACGGGAAGTTAAAAAAAACAAAATTATTGAAGAAAACTTAAAACTACCAAATAAAATAATCCAAAATTGTTTAAAACAGTCTAAAATCGATTTAAACAGCCTAAAACAACTGTAAACCATTAATTAATTGTCGAAAATTGTCAAAAACAATCGAGAATTGTATAAAATTGTACAAAACAGTAAAAAATTGTACAAACCGGTTAATATAACATTAACCACATTAAACATTAATATAATCCAAGGGTATTTAAAAATAAAAAAGCACAAAAACCAAAATAAAATCTCAAATTTATGCAGCAATTGTTTCCACCAGGTCATGTCGATTAAAATTTACCATTTAGAAAATATCCTCGATGATTTTTTGATACTCCTATTAAGTTCTATGATTTTATTAGAATCACATTTTGATGTCTCAAGACTGAAATAATATTTAGCATTCAAAAATTAGGTATAGAGTCGGTCAGATAACTTTTTTTGTGAAAATGCTATATATAAACTACTGAATATTTTCTCAATTTAAAACTTTTTTATTTGAAAATGCAATCCTTCTGGTTAATAATCGAAAATAATTTCATTGAAATGGCTGTCTAACTTTTAAATGGCTCTCAAAATTCTAAATTTGCTACCAATAAAAAAAAGTTATATGGCGGACCCTTTATTTGGTTCAAATTTTATTGAAGAAATCATTGTAAGATGTAATATATTCAGCAATATTTAACATTTCAGTTAAACAAGTCAGTTAAATCAAAAATGAGGGAGTCGAATGTATTTTTCTGTCTAAAAACTTTTCCAAAAATATATGTAATAGCTTGAAAGTAAAGCTAATAATATAATCAGATAATGTAATTCCTTGCAAATAAAATGAAATTAAATGCATATATGCAATAAAGTAAGTTGTAAAATATCTCTAATGATAATTGTAATATTCATTATAGATTGAAAACTTGAAATCCAGAGACGACAGTATCTATAAAAAGCATAAAAAGCCATCATGTACACCTTTGAATATAAAATTAAACATTACAAAAATAACAAGGACTTACCCAAGTAGTATTTGCAATAATTTATATAACAAAATACCCATATGATAATTTGTTATTCATTGCCAATTAAAAATTTTTAAACACACAGTCTACAAAAACCTAACCTTTACGTACAATCCAGGTGTAAGCCTTTGCAATTTAATTTAGTAAATTTAAATATTAATTCAAAGACTTCTGTAAAGAATATATGCAGGGGAATACAGTAACAACAATGTCTATAAAAAGACAAAAATTTAATTTATGTTTCAAAAATGCTAAATGAAATAATATTACAAGAATATTAAAAACTTCTCTAGGTAATGTATGCAATAAATCCTCAATATTAATGTGTTAAAAGTTAAAAGATATTTACATTTTTTTAGAAAGAAATAAGCATTATAATCATTGTAATGTAAATATTAATAATATAAATAAAACATAAATATTGAAAATCTTTGCAATTACAGCCAAAATAGTTGTAAAATCACATATTCATGTGAGATAATTTTTATACTTTGAGAATTTAATGTGAAATAAGCAGTAAAGTCATTGTAATGTAAATATTATTAATATAAATAAAACATCACAAGCAAATTGTGAAAATCTTTGCAATTACAGCCAAAATAGTTGCAAAATTACACATTCGTGTGAGATAATTTATATACTTTGAGAATTTAATGTGAAATAAGCAGTATAGTCATTGTAATGTAATTAATAATAATAGGTTGTCAAATATCTCCTTTCCGCCTTTTTGTATTATAAACCAATAGCAAAAAAGCGGAAGGGAGATATTTGACAACCTAATATAAATAAAACATAAACAAATATTGAAAATCTTTGAAATTACAGCCAAAATAGTTGCAAAATTTCATATTCAGAGTTCATAATTTATATACTTTGAGTAATTATAATTAATTATAATTAGTCTTGTAAAGATAATGTATAAGAAGTATTAAAAATTGAATACCATGTCCATCGATTTCATTATAACATGTTGTAAGTTTAAAAAACTGGAAAATACTGCTTTAAATCAAAATTTACATATTCGGAGGCAAAACTAATAGCTTTATGTAATTTAATGAAAAAGTTATGATTAAAAATAAAAAGTATGTCAACATTATGTATAAAATGTATTAAAAAGTCGAATACCAAGCCTATCGATTGAATTAAAAGCCTTTGTAAACTTAAAAGTTAAAAAATACTGTTTTAAATCAAAATTTACTTATTCAGACATATCAAAGCCATAACTTGTATCAATTTAATGATAATACTGTGGTTTTGATAACAACTTATCAAAAGTATGTCAGGAGTATGAAAACTTGAATACCAGGCCCATCGACTGAAATAAAAGTTGGCAAAAAAAATGTCATTTGCATGTTTTAAAAATGCTAAATGAAGTAATATTACAAGAATATTAAAAACTTCTCTAGGTAGCAAATGCAATAAATTAAATCCTCAATACTAGTGTGTTAAAAATAAAAAGTAAAAGTTGAAAACTTGTCAAACTATATAAAAAAAGTATGTGATCAATAATATAATTCTATCGTTTCTCAAGATATTTACATTTTTTTTAGAAAGAAATAAGCAGTATAGTCATTGTAATGTAAATATTAATGATTTAAATAAAACATCACAAGCAAATAGTGAAAATCTTTGAAATTACAACCAAAATAGTTGCAAAACTTCATATTCAGAGTGATAATTTACATACTTTTAGTAATTTATTAATAACTACTGCAGAAAATATGATTAGTTATATAACAATCATGTATAAGAAGAATTTAAATGAATGCCATGTCCATCATCGATTTAATTATAACATGTTGTAAGCTTAAAATTTAGAAAATACTGCTTTAGATTAAAAAATTCATATATTTGAAGACAAATCTATTGGTGTTTTGTAATTTAATATAAAAGTTATGATTTAATATAAAAACTATGTCAAGATTGGGCCTAAAAAGTATAAAAATGTTGAATACCAAGCCTATCGATTAAATTAAAAGACATTGTATACTTAAAAGTTAAAAAATACTGTTTTAAATCAAAATTTACTTATTCAGAAATATCAAAGCCATAACTTGTGTTAATTTAATGATAATACTGTGGATTAAATCAAAAAAATGTCAGGATTAAGTATGAAAACTTGAATGGGCCTGATCGACTGAATTAAAAGTTGTCTTAGCTTAACAGTTTACCCTTCGATTGTTTTATATCTTGCATTTAAGTACTGAGATTTATGTTTAGTAAATATGATAGGAGCAAGTAGAAATGCTACATTTCTACAACTAATTAGAGTTCTTTTTGAAAAATCCTTTGAAATTCTTTCATCTTTTTGGAAGAAACCCCAAAATTGGTTGACATAACCTCAAAATTAATAAAAGTTGGGTTAATACAAAATTTGAGCCTGAAGTATTATTAATACAAAATAAGCATATTAACTAGCTTAATGTAATTACTATCTAACCTATTACTTACATTTTGCTTGCAGATTCTGGCGTCTCGAAGTCATGATACAGGTTATCAGATTCCTTCAGCTTTTTCTCATCCAGCAGCTAAAATTAAACAAAACTTATTAGCTCAACGTTACAAACAACATGCCTAAAATCCCTAAAATAAATTTACTATCCCCAAATACACTTAATTAAATTATTTATTAAAACACGTGCAGTAGCATAATATTCTAGGTTACCTTGAAAATAGCATAGCCGGCAGGTGTTTCGAACAACACCAACATCTTGATTTATTTCCACGACACTAATATAATTATTGGCGATTATTTTAACACTTTGGTAACGAGGATTAACACATTTATGAATAGTTTATGAATCTATAACACTTTAATTGTGTGCATGCGGCCATTTGCCGTAAATGCGAGACGAAGGCACGAAGCGGTGTTGCCAGCGCGGTGAAAGAAACTCGACTTGAACTTGGCGTTTGAAAATGGCGGCAAATTCAAAATTCAAAATTCAAAATGTTTTAAATAAAAAGTTATTTAAACGAAATATGTGTAAAGTTTATTATTAAAATGTATTGAAATTACTATATGTATGATTTATTATCATAATCATTTGCAAAAACGTATTTTTTATTTACAGTTATAAAATCTTGAGTTTGATGTACAAGATGGCGGTAAATTTAAAATACAAAATTGAATGTATGAACTGTTTAAAATAAATAGTTATTTAAACAAAATTTACGTAGAATTTATTACTAAAGTGTAACAAGACTATTAGTTGTATGATTTACTAATATAAACGATTGCAAAAGCATGATTTTTACATATAGTTTTAAAATCTTGATTTTGATATACAAGATGGCGGTAAATTTAAAATACAAAATTGAATGTATGAAATGTTTAAAACTAAATAGTTATTTAAACAAAATATATGTAGAATTTGTTATTGAAGTGTAATCAAAATATTATATGTATTATTTACTTTTATAAATAATTGCAAAAGCATGATTTTTACTTACTGTTATAAATTTTTGAATTTGATATACAAAATGGCGGTAATTTTAAAATACAAAATTTAAAGTATAAAATTTACTAAATAAAAAGCTATTTAAACAAAATATATGTAGAATTTGTTATTGAAGTGTAATACAAATATAATATGTATTATTTACTATTATAAATAATTGCAAAATCATAATTTTTACTTATAGTTTAAAATTTTTTAAATTAAAAGTTATTTAAACAAAATATATGTGAAATTTATTACTAAAGTGTAACAAGACTATTAACTGTATGATTTACTAATAAAAACGATTGCAAAAGCAAGATTTTGACTTAATTTATAAAATATTGAATTTAATATACAACATGGCGGTAATTTTAAAATACAAAATTTAAAGTATGAAATGTTTAAAATAAATAGTTATTTAAACAAAATATATGTAGAGTTTGTTATGGAAGTGTAAAAAAAATATTATATGTTATATTTACTATTATAATCAATTGCAAAAGCATGATTTTTAATTAGATTTATAAAATCTTGAGTTTGATATACAAAATGGCGGTAATTTTAAAATACAAGTTTAAAAGTAATAAATAAATATATAAATAAAGAAAATATATGTAGAATTTGTTATTTAAGTGTAATAACATTATTATATGTATGATTTACTATTATAAATAATTGCAAAAGCTTGATTTTTACCTATAGTTATAAATCCTTGAATTTGATATATAAAATGGCGGTAATTTTAAAATACAAAATTGAAAGTATGAAATATTTTAAATAAATAGTTTAAATTAAAATATATATATATATATATATATATATATATATACATATATAAACCTAAACTTGATATTCGAAATGAACGTTAAATTCAAAATACAAAATGAATGTATTTAACTGTATTAAATAAATAGATAACTTTCCATAAAGCAAAATGCCACTTACGACTAGTAGTCAATGAAATTTTCCAAATTTTAATTATTTCACAAATATTTACACAAGTGTTTTAAATTAAATCCATTATTGCGAAATTAATAACTAAATTTTGAATTATGCCAATTTGCATTTGCGTAATTTTAAAACGCTATTAAAAAAAAAGTAGAATAATTATATGCAAATTTTATATTATATTTTAATTAATCAAAATTAATGCAAATTTTGGAATATTGTTTTTATTAAATTTTGTGGTAAAAATAAGAGCATGTAAATGTTGTAGAATTTACTTTTGGAATATAAATTAATTATGTGGAAATAATTATATTTTATTTATTTATTTTAGTGATTGATGATCCTGTTGCTTTGTGGACTGAACCTTATGGTAAAAAACAATACTTTTACTTAAATTCTACGACACAAGATATATATATAGCAAAATGCCGGGTCACCTAGTATATATATAATTTTGCAATATATTTTTTAATTAAATATTTACTCAAAAAATAATATAATATATTGTAACGACACTTTTGGATATGAAAACATATTTAATTTAATTTATTTAAAATTAAATTAATTATTATAATTAAGTTACAAAGTTAATTCTTGTTTCATTCGTTTAAACCCCCAAAAGTTATTAAAGGTATTTTTAGAGGGTGAGTAATGTTCCTAAGGTAGTTTCTAAGGTTACTAGTTAGATATAATACTATTACATATCATACAAAATTCAAACTTATTAATACAAATACAAAAGCTGCCTCGAGGATCATCCAAATTCAGTTGCCTGATAATTTCTCCACAACATTTTATGTATTATATATGCCGGGTCACCTAGTATATATATAATTTAGCAATATATTTTTTAATTAAATAATTACTTAAAAAATAATTTAATATATTGTACCGACACTTTTTGATAAAAAAACATATTTTAAATTAAGTTACAAAGTTAATTTTTGTTTTATTCGTTTAAACCCCCAAAAGTTATTAAAGGTATTTTTAGAGGGCGAGTAAATGTTCCTAGAATAGTTTCTCAGATTACTAGTTACATATAATACTATTATATATCATACAAAATTGAAATTTATTAATTAACTATTATTTTTATTATTTAACTAATTTTTTTATTTTTTATTATTTAACTATTATTAAGACAAATACAAAAGCTGCCTCGAGGATCACCCAAATTCAATTGCCTGATAATTTAGCCACAACACAAATAAAAATAATCAATTCCTTTTAAAAATATAGGAAAAAAATCATCAGATAAATTTTTTTCATAACAATTAATACTGTGTCTGGAATTCGTATTTTTTTTAATCTTATGTATTATATATGTCTATTCTTTTTTAGTTTGGAAGTTTCCTGGACAAACCTTAAGTTATTTGCCCTTAACCGAAAATGGTGCATTGAACAAAGGATGGACAAAGGTTTCTGTACCCAAAATTCATTCGAATTTAAAGGTCTACTGCCCTTTTTATGATAAAACCCTTTGTGTCATGATCGATTCTATCGATAGAATCGTTGGAGTAACTATAATGGTAAGTGATAAAGGAATAATTAGTAAAAAATAATTTATCATTTTTTTGGAAATAAATAGATTGCGAAGAATAACACCAGGACAAAAAATTCACCGTATAAATTTAATGAAAGTCCTTGGTTTACTGAAGTGGATGTGTATGGGAAAACATACTACTTGATCAAAATATTTTTTGTGGATCACAGTAAGTATAAATATATATATATATATATATATATATATATAATATATATATATATAATATATATATATATATATATATATATATATATATATATATATTAGGGTGGACCTTAACAAGGACATTTTCGAATTTCTTTGCTCCCAAGGGCGCAAATGCTTCCAAAAGAATAAAAAATAAATCTCTAATAGTATTAGCACTTATTATAAACATTTAAATAAAGCGCACGCCAATTGAAAGTTTCATATATTTGTTATTAACATACGTCATTAAGTAAATTCTTGCGCCATCTGTACGTGAACTCATATATGACATATAAGAATAGTTCTAAATCACTTAACCTCTAATTAAATCCTATTCATCGTGGAATCAAGATTAATTTTCTCTAATAATTATCTAATAATAATCTAATAATTTCAAGAAACTCAATTTATTGTCTTGATTTCATGCCCACATGGATTTAATTGTAGGTTAAGTGGTTTAAAAATATTCTTATGTGTCATATATGAGTTCACGTGCAGATGGCGCAAGAATTTACTTAATGACGTATGTTAATAACAAATATAAGAAACTTTCAATTGGCGGGCGCTCTATCTAAATTTTTATATTAAGAGCTAATACTATTAGAAATTTATTTTTTATTCTTTTGGAAGCATTTGCGCCCTTGGGAGCAAAGAAATTCGAAAATGTCCTTGTTAAGGACCACCCTAATATATATAAAAATTAAATAAAAATATAAATTTTGTTTATATACCTAGATCATATACAAAACTCATGATATAAACAACAAATTGCATCTTTTGGAAATATGATTCGAATTGTTGGAAAAAATGGAGCAAAATTAGAAGTACCTCCAAAGGAGCCAGAATTGGTGGAAAAATTATGGAGAAAGCAAAATTGTGTTGAAAATAGAGGTAAGTAATAATATTTATCATACCACAATTATTAAAACTCTAACATCATTCTGCAAATACAATTTTGTATGCTATTTTGTTGACCTAAATTTTAGAGTCATTAGCAATTTATCTTCTAGAATAGATGTGATTTTTTTTTCTAGGTACTCATTACACATATTCAAAAGAAAACGATACAAATTGCAATAATTATCTACCAGTAACAATTTTGGTAAAAAACCAAGAAGTTGTAGGTTTTGCATTTATTATACCAGGATCATATCAAACTGGCTATATGCCATATTTTGAAAAAACTTACAGCAATTTGTTGGAAGTAAGTAAACATTGAAATAAATTATATATTTAGATATCATTTTGTTTAATATATATATATATATATATATATATATTTTAGCAATTTCTTGGAAGTAAGTAAACGTTGAAATAAATTATATATTTAAATATTATTTTGTTTAATATATTTTCAGGAAAGAATGCCTCATATGCCTAAGTGTTTAAGAAATTGGAAAAAGTATGAATATTCTTCGATTTATATAGATTTGGTTCCTTTAGGATATATTAAAACGTGTGTTGCAAATGATTCTATAAAATCGCCTTCGAAGTTTACAAGATTTACGAATGGTTTCAAAAATTTGTTCAGAAGTTAATTATATATAAATATAAATAATAAATATAAATATAAATTTGTATATAAATAAAATTCATTAAACATTTCATATAAAATTCTACTTTGCATACAGTATCCTAAAGTACCTTGCAACAAACTATTCGATTTTCATTTTTTACGTTTGACGATTTTTTAAAAATGATTTTGTTCGAGACTTTAACCATTATTATATAGAAATTCCTAGATAATATTATAAGCTTTCGAATGACTTATAACAATACTTTGGTATTCAAACAAATTTTTAACGAAATAAAACAAAACGTGCACCACAAATACATAACAAATTCGATTTTCATTTTTACGTTTGACTTGATTTTTTTAAAAAATGATTTTGTTCTAGACTGTAATAATTTTTATATACAAATTTATGAGTAATTTTATAAGCTTTCCAATGACTTGCAATACATATGCATGCAAACAAATTTTTGACGAAATATTACAAAACATAAAGTGCAAACACAATACATAACAAATTTGATTTTCATTTTTACGTTTGACGATTTTTCAAAAATGATTTTGTTCTAGATTATAACCAATATTATATAGAAATTCATAGATAATTTTATAAGCTTTCGAATGATTTATAACAATATATATGCATTCAAACAAATTTTTAACGAAATATTACAAAACATAAAGTGCAACCACAATACAGAACGAATTCGATTTTCATTCTTACGTTTGACGATTTTTTCAAATATGATTTTGTTTGAGACTATAATAATTTTTAAATACAAATTCATAGATAATTTCATAAGCTTTTGAATGACTTATAACAATACTTTGGTATTCAAACAAATTTTTGACGAAATATTACAAAACATAAAGTGTAACCACAATACATAACGATTTCGATTTTCATTTTTACGTTTGACGTTTTTTTTTTAAATATGATTTTGTTTGAGACTATAATAATTTTTATATACCAATTCATAGATAATTGTATAAGCTTTCGAATGACTAATAACGATGCATATGTATTCGAACAAATTTTTAACGAAACATAACAAAGTGCAACCATAATACTAAACGAATTCGATTTTCATTTTTACGTTTGACGATTTTTTTAAAAATGATTTTGTTCTGAACTATAATAATTTTTATATAGAAAGTCATAGATAATTTTATAAGCTTTCGAATGACTTATAGCAATATATATGTATTCGAACAAATTGTTAACGAAATAATACAAAACGTGCAACCACAATACATAACGAATTCGATTATCATTTTTACGTTTGACAAATTTTTTAAAAATGATTTTGTTCTAGACTATAATCAGTTTTATATACAAATTCATAGATAATTTTATAAGCTTTCGAATGACTTATAACAATACATATGTATTCGAACAAATTTTTAACGAAATATTACAAAACATAAAGTGCAACCACAATACATAACGAATTCGATTTTCATTTTCATTTTACTAATTCGAATTTCGAGGTTTGACGATTTTTTTAAAAATGATTTTGTTCTGGATTATGATCATTATTATATACAAACTCATAGATAATTTTAAAAGCTTTCGAATCACTTATAATAACAATACATATGCATTCAAACAAATTTTTAACGAAATATTACAAAACAACAAAGTGCAACCACAATACATAACGAATTCGATTTTCTTTTTACGTTTTTTTTAAAAAACCCAACAAAAAATATAATAGTAAAAAAACCTTTTATTTACATACTGCTCTTTTACAAAACTCTCTCTACAAATATATTTATTAATATATATTATCTATAAACTATTATCCACTAAGCACACATTTTTTATACCAATTTTAATAATATCAGAGATTCTTTCTTATAATTTTTCGTACTACGAAAAACTTTTAAGCACACAATTAATGAATGAAAATTAATAAGAATTAATTATGATTATTAATTAATGATTAACTATTCAGTCTCCACATAGAATAGTGGAAAAAATCCCATATTCTTTATTAAATAAAAAGATTTGCTTAAAAAATAATATATATGACTTTGTTTTGTGGTAACTTTAAATTAGAGGAATGAAAATTTAATGTTATCGTTTATCCTTACCGGGCCAAATATCATCTGTCGTTCAGGCTGGTTTTTTGTATTTTGTATTCCAAAAAAAAATTGACTTATTTACATTATGAATTCTAATTTTTTAACCGGTAAAATGACCATCAGTCAAAAGGGTTGCCTTGTCGATTCTGCAGCCTCCGGATTTAATTCGCAAGGCCTTAAAAATTCTTGTCCTCGTTCGTGTAACCATTTATTAGAAACTAAAAACAAGATATTAATATATATATATATATATATATATATATATATATATATATTAACAAAGTCTAATAATCGGGCATTGCACCAATAAAAAACGTGAATTTCTTTCAAAAATTTATTTTAAATCGGCTATAATTCTAGGCTTCATTCAGTGGAAACTAAAAATAAAATTAAAACTGAAACAATTGAATTGGAGTGAAAAGAAAAAAGAAAATAGTAAATAGTACTTACAATTAGTTAATCTTAGTGTTAAATTGGAAAATTTTACTAATCCATGGTATCAAGATATGGTAATGCACTACACTATGTATTATAAACATTAAACTTGTAATTACACAATATTTTCACAAAATACTAATTTAAAAAATCACAATTGGATAGTGTGTAGTTCGTAGACTGGTTGAAGATATAATGGAGAAAGGACATTTTAAAAAATATTTTTTACCCACTATGATAATTGATCAATTTAATAACGTCAATAAAAAATTAAAATTTACAGTAGAATTAGAGACAATGAATTCGATAAGTTTCTTAGACATAAAACTCATACGTACTACTGATAACAAACTAATAACAAATTGGTACCAAAAACCAACTAACTCTGGACGTTACCTTAATTATTTTTCTTATCATCCACTCAAAATGAGAATAGGTACTATAATAAATCTAACTGACCACGCAATACTTCTATCGGACAAAACATTTTGGGACAACAACATAAATTTAATTACGAAAATTCTAACAAATAACTCATATATCCCTTAAAACTTATAAACTCCGTAACCAGTAACAGACGAACATACCTTTTGAATAAAATGAACAATTCCACAGTACAAAACGATTTACCATACATTAAAGAATTGTATATTCCTTGGAAAAAACTTTTTTACAAATCTGGACTCCGACTTGTAAACAATTTTAGTACAACGACTAGCACTATCTTTACCAAAACAAAAACCCCTTTTAATATCGAACGACTTAGAAATGTCGTCTATCAAATAAATTGTCTAGATTGTAATTTAATTTACATAGGAGAAACAAGCCAGAACTTAATTAAACGTTTACAACATAAAAACAATCCGAGGCAATTTAAAACTATGATTGCGGAGCATATTTATACTTTAAAACACAATATGGACGTCTAACCCGACTCTATTACAATTCGAACAAAATTTATTTAAACGAAGAATTATAGAAGGATCTTTTTTAACTATTTACGGCAATAAAACAAAAAAAGAGTGCGCGTAAGAATCACACGCGATTGAAGTAAAACTTATTTGCAATTATATTGTAGCAAATTTAAGTTGAGTAAAAATAAATACATCATATAAAAATTTATGTGATGGTAACACTCATAACAATGGTAACAATTTATGTGACAAACGATGGTAACAATTTATGTGATTTATTGTAATATGGTAACACTCGTGATGCACACATTTATTAGTGTCGTCAATCATTATACACATTTATATAATGATAAATTATAAATTATATATTTATGATTACATTAAAAATATGTATAATATTCACAAACAATAATGTAATCAAAGTCGTACTTGAAATATGACATGATTGTTTTAAAGTAATTGCTGATTAATAAATTCTATAATATTCATTCACACAGTGGATTATGCTAAACAACGCCTAAACAAATATTGTTTTTGCAAATTAACTCATCCTGTAACAATTGTGTTTAAAAACCTTCATGTAATTAAAATTAACATATATTCATTTACTGATTGCATTTTTTTACTTTTTCGCTGATGATATAATCTCATTCCTTGAACAGCTGTAATATCCGTCTTGCCTAACAAATTGAAGCCATACTTTTATATTTGTTTTATTTATCAAGCCCTGCACATAACTTGATTTATGAATCATTCTCTTTTTTATGTGAACGTTAATGCAATGATCATCATCAATATTACGAGGTAATAAATTAATCATATTATTAACGTCAACAGGCACATTTATAATTTGGCCAAACATTCCAAATTGTCCATTTGCATGTCGCAATCGTCTAATTTGCATGAAACACAACCTAGGTAAAATTAACCTTTCAGATACAGTATCTAGTTTAGGTAGATAATTTGGTATAGGTGGAGATACAAACCCGGTAAATTTACACAAAGTGGGAATTTTACCCGAATTTAATATCTTTCGACAAGTTTGACATCCAACCTGATTATTTAAATCAATATTCAAAAAACATTATTAAGAATTTGTTTTTGATATTTCTAAGTCACTTTGAAACCAAAGTCGATCACACACAAAACATACATAGCCAAAGCTATCATTTCTTACGCAGCGCAGATTTTTCCTTAGTTTCATTATTTATTTGCGATCATTTGCACTGCAATTATTTATGGGGGACGGGATAAAAATTTTTTCCGATCCTGACATTTTTATTAACTCACGTATTATACTGCTAACCCATGTCGCGCCTAAAGAAGTTTTACTTCAAAAAATGTTTAGAGAATACGAGCTAAATACAAAACTCAAGTGAAAGTCGACACATTTTCTTTTGTTTTTGACATAAGATTTGACATTGATGTATTTTTTGTTTTGCTCGCAGACTAGATCGAATAATTGCGATAGCTGCGCTTACTAGCGTCGTAGTCTTCAACTTCACGTTGGCGTTTTCGTTGCATTTGTACGGATTTACACCCGTGTCGCGCCTAAAGAAGTTTTACTTCAAGAAATAAACGGAATGAACTTAACACGCTGTGCGACACAAATGTCTTTTATTTAGATAGTATTTCCAAATTTCTTACAAAACAATAAAAGCGTCGCGTAAAGGATTCGCAATTCGTTCCACACATGTGTAAAATCTTGGTAAAAAATATATTTTAAAAAGTCCTTTCTCCATTATATCTTCAAACAGTCTACGAACAACACATTATCCAATTGTGATTTTTTAAATTAGTATTTTGTGGAAATATTGTGTAATTTCAAGTTTAATGTTTTAATACATAGTGTAGTGCATTACCATATCCTGATACAATGGATTATTAAAATCTTCCAATTTAACACTAAGTTTAACTAATTGTAAGTACTATTTACTCCTTTTATTTTTTCTTTTCACTCCGATTCAATTGTTTTAGTTTTTAATTTTAGTTTTAGTTTCCACTGAATGAAGGCTAGGATTATAGCCGAAACGTATGGATTTAAAATAAATTTTTGAAAGAAATTCATGTTTTTTATTGGTGTTATGCCCGATTATTAGACTTTGTTAATACATATGTCAACATCAAATTCTGAATCATACAATATATATATATATATATATATATATATATATATATTATTTATTTATTTATTTCTTACCCCATTTGGATCCTGCCAGAACAGGACATGCAGCATGTCTGGTCAAATAGTCTCCTTCACCACTCGGATGAAGATTGTACCAAAAAGCTGCAGTCCCTTTTTTTGGCCAAAGGGATGTTTTAAGGGCTGGAAACACTGTTGCACCCCCTTGGGCAACATCTGACATCTAGATAAAACAATAATAGTAATAATAAACATTAAAGAAAAAATCATACAAAGGTAATTTCAATGTTGGTGCTAAAAAGTTCCAAGGTAAATGTTCAATGGCTTGTAAGTTATTCGGATATTTTGTTGCAAAATAAAATTATAAGAAACTTTGTGTAATTTTTAACCAAAATATATTTCTATTTGTCTACCAATAATTCTATTTGTATATGAATCGATAATAATGACGTAACGATCATCTTTGATCAATTTTTTTAAAATTATTTTTTATTTATTTTTTTTTTAATTTTTTTTATTGCAAAAATGTAACCAACTCTTCATTTCGTCAATAAAAATAAAATGTGTTTTAAATCATTAAAATCGGACAATCGGTTCTCCCAAAAACTGCATTATCATTTTTGGCACTTTTTGCCCCGTATCTCCGAAACTTCCGGATCTGCCTTTGCCAAAAACTAATTACCACTATTATTACGAATCGAATGTTTTTTGAATCATTCAAATCGGTTGATCCGTTCTCCCGAAATCGTCGATGAAAGATTGTATCCGCACACATATATATACAGCACCCGCATTCACGCACACATTTATATACATAATATATATATATATGTATATATATATATATATATATATATATATATATATATATATGAGATTCAGTTATATATACTTACGTAGAATAAAACTGTTGCAATCCTGTTTCCTGTTCCTAGACTTTTGAAAGCGTTGACTTCTTCTTTCTATGAAAAAACAGATAATATTAAATATGTATATACTAGCCGACCCGGTAAGTCATAAAAAATATTTGTAGATAATTTTAATATTCATTTTTTTTTAATTCCGGATTAAAATAATACAGAAAATTGATCCTAAAATAAATTAGTGGGGTGTATGGCATCGTGCCTTAAGGCAAATTGCTGCAACTTCCCGTACCGTAATAAAATATTCGAGAAATTTTAAACGTTTTCAAATATGCTATTACAAATACTGTAACTTTCATTATTTTTGCTATCTTATTATATCCAGAACATTAACAATCGTCATTTCATTTCGAATTCAATTTAAAAAAAAAATAGTTGCCTAATTTACACAAAATAGAAAAACTGCTCCCGTATAGTCACAGTCTAAACGCATTTGCAAATAATTCTGTGCGACATTTTCACTTATACTGCGCTTAGATTGGCGGCATTTTCACATTTTTCAATAGTTTTCACACAAAATTGGAAAAGTGCTCCAGTACATAAACAGTCTAAACGCACTTGGGTAACGCATTTATACCAGAGTGGCGCTTAGACTGTGCTTAGCCTGGGTAATTTTTTGAATTTTTAATCCAAAATTACAAAAATATTTTATGGAAAATAAAAAAAGATGTAATATTTTTTTATTCTCGAAAGCAATTGTTTTGTCAATACTAGCAGAAAGTTTTTCAGATCATTCAAATCGGACGCTTAGTTCACACTACAACTGCCATTTTTTGCACATTTAGCTCTGTATCTTCGAAGTGGCGGGACCTGTCTTTGCCAAAAACTAATCACCTCTTCTCCCAATCATTACAAATTGAATGTTTTTTAGATCATTCAAATCGGATATTCCGTTTAAAGTATATAACGTTTTATAACTGTATAATGTAAAAAAAATGTGAAATTTAAAGTTAAGTATCTAGTTATTAGCCATTGTAAGATTTTATGGGTTACATTCATTTATAGTTACAATAAAATAAATACATACAAATATTAATAGTGAATTTATACCAAATTAGATACTTTACCAATTTTTCTAATAAAATAATCCGGAATAGTCTAAATTCGTTTAATTTTATTCATCCGAAGAGCATTTATTTATTACATCTTGAATAACTTTTAAAATATTTGTTAAAAATAAATGATGTATTAGAAAAATTTGTATAAAATTAAATTCTAAATAATATTGTCTAACATAGTAAGACCCTATAGCATCTCGGTATACTTTAAAAACCCTACCAAAAACTACGAATTGCATTTGATAAAATGTAAATAAGTCATAAAGAGTGCGTTTATTTAGTATTTCTTTCAAAAACTCGATTTGTATTTTCTGCACTCTTTGCTCCGACCTGCCTTTGACAAAAACTAATCAGCACATCTCCCTATCAATAGAGATCGAATGTTTTTTAAACCATTCAAATCGGTTGATCCGTGCGCCCGCAAACGTGGACGAAAAAATGCGGACATACAAAACACACACACATCCATTTGGTTTCTGTGGTATGCCAAAATGTTCGGAAACCTTCAAAACGTCAAGAAATGCAAAGATTTTCATTTTCGATTTCCGGCCGATTATTATAACCACCCTACGGGAAGTTAATAATACCGAAAATTTATGCCAAAATAAAGAATTGTTGAGGGTGGACAACCCTTAATAAATAAATAAGTTTTTTGAACCAAAATATAAGCTTTTTCATGAGTTTAAAATTTAAATTTTGGCTGATCCTCAGTCATCCTGAACCTAATTTTATAAAAATTTCACATATATCACTAGGGCTTCCAATACCGTACTAAAATCTGAATACCGGTATTCGAAATTGTTCATATAGAATTATTTTATTTATTCATTTATATAAGTCTTTGTGAAGTGTTGATATCTACAGGTATACAATATAGATAATTATAATTAAATATACACATCGACAAGGTCATACTAAGCTGAGCCGAGTCGGCAATACACATACACCGTTTGGAAACTGTGTAAGTGTATTCCGAGAGTTAAATTTTTAACAAAATTTTTGATAATCCCGAAATACCGGTATTATTGTCTCAATACCCGTATTGAATACCGGACAAAAATCGTCCGGAATCCCGGTATTCGGGATTACGGAATTCCGGTATTGTAAGCCAAATATATCACTAAGCTTTTCATCCCTTACCCTTGCGAAATCGAAATGCGGTTCATAATGTCCTCCAATACCATAGTTGACCACCTGCAATTCCTCGGCAGTATCAACCTCCAATCCTGTCATCATCCTAACACGTTCTGCGACTGCATAGACATGTCTATGTTCTTCAGATTTCAACCAGGCAGATTTGCTGATCCTGTAATTTGCAGTCTCCAACTCGCCAGTCTTGTAATTTTGCACCGTCGCCCTTTTAAACTAAAAGAGAAATAGAAATATGGGGTAAAAAAATACTTCATGTTTGTTTCGTAAAAATTCTAAGTAGTATACAATGTCCCTTTTCAGCCGACTATTGTAAATTCATCAAATTTATTGAATGTCCTTTACTGGACAGTTGTAAATCAAAGAGATAATAAAAAAAATAAAAAATTAATCTAAGTTCTTACCCTTGGTTGTGCCATTCTTTTAATCGTCGCAATTTCAGTGTCGTATATTATGTCGTGGAAGATTAGAATCCTAGGGAACCTGTGGACCTAGAAATTACAATAAGTTAATATATAAATACATATTTATCATATACTAGTTGACCCGACAGACGTTGTCCTGTACCCATGTCTACAATTTTTTAATATAATATTAGGTTGTCAAATATCTCCCTTCCGCTTTTTTGCTCTTGGTTTATAATACAAAAAGGCGGAAGGGAGATATTTGACAACCTATTATACTAATAATTACCGTATACCTAAAAATAATAATTATTGTTTTTTAAATTACTCTTCACGCCAAAATGCATATACATTTATATGATGAGCGATGTTAAATGTAGAACTGCTTTAAATAAAATGATGAGTCTCAATTCTAGAAGTCTATATTGGAAATTGAAGTCTTTTAAACGGTTTAACATAACCATAACAATAACATAACACTGGTACTTCATGTTGGATTAAATTATTTTAATTTTTTATTATTTAAGATATCCAAAATTGCATCTTAAACTTCTCCTAATCGATATCGCGAGAACCGAATTGTATGTATTCATCTTTACTTTCCCATTTGTTGTTATAAAGTGAAATTTTTACTAATTTTAAAAATATTGTGGAAAGATTAGTAAAAGATGCAAAGAAATTATATATTGAAAAAAACTATATTGAAAATTTAATATCCGAATCTTGTGTTGGCGCCCCCTAAGGCGTGCGCTCGTATTTCTCGCATGCATCGCATCAAAGATAGGACCTGCCCTGATTAATACTTAATTTCATATTTCAAGTGAATTAATTTGTCATATCCTGTTCATATGTGTATCATTCAATCTGCCATACATACACTGTATTTTATATTATTTTAATTTCTTGCACATCTCAGCTGCTTTTTGGCAATAATAATGGAGACATTTCATTTTCCTTATTCATAATCATAAATTTTTTATACATATTCTAATATTGTCTAGGTTCGTAAGTAAATTGAACTATTTGGCAAATGATAGTTTTCATTATTGTCACGAATTTTTCAACTTAAAGATATACATTAATGTCTTATTTTGTTTTTTATTTTTATTGGTGATTTACAGTATTATGCTATCGGTATTTTGTCCAAACTTATATTTTGTTGAATATTTTCATGTGGGAGATCGTAATGAATGCAAAATATTTTCAAAAAGAAACTATTCATTGAACTAAGTTTTAGAGTCTTATTATGTTAAATAATACATTTAAACATGTATAAATACGTATAATTAATAAATTAAGAAATGCAGAAATAAGTGTCAGAAATTAAAATAATATAAAATACAGTATATGTATGGCAGATTGAATGATACTATAATTAAGAAATTATATATACGTCTCTTTATCTGTTTTTTTCTATTTATATATTAAGCTTATTACATATAAGTAAGATATAAATGGGTTTAAACTCATATATCGGCATGTGGATGAACCAAAATCATCTGATATTTAAACCTTTTGCAAAAAGTTCTGAAATCATTCCATAGACTCCAAAAAAAATATCCCCCAAGTTGTCTATCTATTTCCTTATCTATGTACTTTATCTTATATGATTTTAATTTCAGGTACATTTCAGCTGCTTTTTGGCAATAATAATGTAGACATTTCATTTTTCTTATCCATAATCATAAATTTATCATACATATTCTAATATTGTCTAGGTTCGTAAGTAAATTGAAATTTTTGGCAGATGACAGTTTTCATTCGTTTTCAATGCAAAAAATGACATGTCGTTTTTGCAATTTTTCCATTAATTTCTACAATATTGCACATACATCCCAGTACTTTATAACATACATCCTAAAAAATTTCCTTGACAAATTTCAGAAAGATTTATCGAAATCCGAATAGTCCTTTAGGAGGAGTATACAGTGAGTGCTTGTAATTTAATATGAACTTTATATAATAGCAATAAAGCTCAAATTGATTCTACGTTTTAGTTAGAAAACGTTTGTATGAGAAAAAGAAAAAGCTGTTTTTAGGGTTTTCCCGGCAATTATTCGATTTTTCTCGCCGTAAGCACCATTCTTGGACACCAACAAACATTTTAAAAAAAGATTTGGCCAAATTGGTTCAGGCGTTGTTGAGTTATGCGCTTACCAACACACTTTGCGATTTATTTTTATATATAAGAAGATGAATCATAATTACCTCTTCCACTTTGAATGGTCCAATAAGTAAATAAGGGTTATCGTTGGTCACCAGATGACATTTTAGTGAAGCTTGTTCGCGAGGACCCAAACCCAATTCACCCCTGCACAATTTTTCGTACAACTCACGTTCTGTAGGCACATGGACTTCTTCGGAAGCATCGTCATCTACATACTGAAAATAATCATCACAAATTATATTAAGTAACAAGTAAATTTTTTTTTGCCCATACCTGTTCCTCATTGATCTTCTCCTCCAAACTTGGCACAACTTTTTCCTCAACCATTTTATTTTCGTAGTAGACTTTATTTCCTAAAGCTCTCTGATGATTCGGCACGATTTCCAATAATTCGTTTGTCATTGCTAGAGCTGATGGTAAATTACCTGGAAAAAAATACACGAACTTTAATAGTGAACGAAGTTGCACTGTCAATTTATTTTGCTATGTACTAGGAAATGCAATACCGGTATACCGGTATACCGAATTACCGGTAAACCGCCCGATTTTTCGGCGGTGTTTTTACCGGTATTTACCCCAAAAATTATTTATTTATTTCGGTATTTTTATATAAGCGCTATTTGATACATAATACAATAAAGTTTAAATTTCTCGGAACAAATTTATCTTTAAATTCCATAATCGCATAAACAGCTACATCTTCAAGTGATTATATAAGATAAACAAATGTCAAATATTATCTCAACTCGTCATTAAACTGAATATTTATTGCTTTCCAAAGGGCTTCATATCGGGTTACAATAAATAGAATCGGACTGATAGATAATGATGTTTGTTTCATCTTTTGTAAAAATGTAACGGTTTTTTAAGTGATATTTGCGCCAAAATATTTTATATCATACAGATTACCTCTGCGCAATCTTAATTTTTTTCTAGCTTTATGCATAATAATTATGATAATTAATAAATACTTTTGCTTCTCATTACAAGTATAAAATATTATTTTTCGAAAATCTTTTTAAAGTTTGAAAATACTATAGAAGCATAACATTGTTTTAAATAACAATTCTCAGCAATTATAGTAACTTATTATTTATCTCGACAAAAAATCCGATCTTAAATTAGTGTAGAAAAATTATTTTTTTAAAATATTGGAGATTATGCTAATTTAACACATTGGATACAGACAATACAATTTATTATATTAATGTAATATGATCTTTTTTGAGTTTTTGGTCTTCCTTACTCATAAGTTTGTTTTTGGTGAAAAGTACTCAATATACTCGATAGTGATAATGAATTAATTGAATTGGATATAATTTTGTTGAATTATTATTTAAAAAATAAACTTATTGTTTTATTTTATTGTTTTTATTGTTTAGTTGAATATAGTTGTAGTTGTATATACATTTTTTTAATATTTGTACTAGTAACTTTCAATTTTGTTTACGTTTGTTTAAGATCAAAAAATACCTGTAATTTACCGGTATTCCGGTTTTAAAATGAAAAATTACCGAAATACCGGTATTGAAATTTTTCATCGGTATTGCATTCTCTACTATGTACCTTGCATGTAGGTGGAAAAGGCCAAATATTCCAAAATATCTTCCCTGGTCGTCGTCTTATTTTTCTCCATTTGCAACCTTTGCATGGCCTCCTGCATCCAAAGAACTGTATGGTAAAAATCACCATTGTTGTAAGACTGTCTGCCCAATTCGAAGCAATCACCAGCTGTCAGGGCAGTACTAGAAAAAAAAACAACTATCAGTCCAAGAACCATTAAAATCTGTTACTTTCCTTACCTGTATTGGACGCCATTCAGTTCACCTCTGGCAACACTAGACGTCTCTAATTTGTAAGTATCCTGCAATCTCATCAGGGCAACTGCTGCACCATTCAAATCTTCGTCTGAAGGGAATTTTAGGTCGTCACGAAGTCTGGTAATGTTTGACACAAATTCTAAAAGGGACAATAGATGGTTTACAAGTCCTGGTGAAATTTTGGTTAAAGAAAAATGATGGTAATCTACGGTTTTCACCTCTGCCAACATCCTCCAGCATCATACTTTCGATGGCCTTCCAATCTGTAGTAAGTCTCTTGGTCAACAAATAGGCATTTATAGGATTAGATACGTAAGTCTGAATATCCTTAGCTGCATCTGCATGCTCTCTTTGATACTCCAAAGATTTCCTACAGAAAAATTAGAACTTAAACCAAAAACCCAGCACCATCCTTGTTCCACAAACAATTTTGAGGATGCTGATTTTCGGAGTAGTAGCATTTTCAATCAACTTTTTAACTTCCCGAAGTAGAAGTTTATGTTTTCATCAAAAAATACGATTCGCTAATTTTATGTTTTCCCGACGTCTCAAGCCATTCTGAATCGAATGAGACCAAATTTAAGGAAAAAGTATGTGTGTGTGTGTGTGTGTGTGTGAACAGATTTTTTGCCGTAAATCGACGTTTTCTCAAAAACGGATGGATGATTTCAAAAATTTATAAGCCATTCGATGTATCTCGATGAGGACTAGCGTTTAGCAATTTTGCGCGACGATCAGCCAAGCCGTTTCTTCGTAAATAGCAGAGTCTTTCGTCCACGTTTTAGCCCGCAATTCTGAATCGATTTTGAAAATTCAAAAATCGTTCGAAAGATATTGGTTGGGAATCGACCTGATTAGTTTTTGGTAAAGATCGGCCGGGCCGTTTTCTTGTAATTCGTTGTTGAAAAAAAAATTGAGCCAATTTTTATGAAACTTTTTTTAATGATATATATCAATGTTTTACACAACTTATTGAAATATTACGGCCTAACGACAAGTAGTTTAATTTTAAAAATTCATCAAAGTTTAAAACAAGGAGTAGTTTTTTTCACGTTTGTTAAGGGGCACAACAAGTGTACCCGCCTAAAAAAAAGTGATTTTTGGGAATTTATATTGAAAAAACTACTCTATCAATCATTTCAAAATTATAGTAATATATTTATACATGTTTTAAGAATACATAGTAAAATTTTTGAAGAAAAAAATTAAATATTTTTTAAGTTATAGTCCATCTCCAACGGGCGTGACAAAAAAAGGCCCTTCACTGCTGCAGTGATTCCGGCCTTCTACGTGGATGAAATTTAAAAAAAAAAATCTCGTTAAACTAGATAATATTGTCTGTAAAATAAACTACGATAAAAAGGATCAAAAATTGACAAAATGACGGCATTTTTTTTTTAAAAAGTCGAATTTTAATCAAAATTTTGGTCGTTTTTGGCCTGCCAAAATTCGATTTTTGATCCGATCAAAAAATCGATAGTTCATTTTACGGAGAACTATATATAGAACATGTAAAAAAAATTTGATAGTGATCGGATCATTTGTTTTTGAGTAATTGCTGCAGCAAATTCGGAAAATGCTATTTCGAGAAAAACGCGTAAACTATACATATACTCTTTAAATGGCTGTGACTCGAAAACTATTTAAGATATCGATTTAACATTTTGGTATGTTATTTTTAAAGGTATAACCTATCTAAATATGAAAAAATTGAAAATTCGATTTTTTGAAAATTTCACACTAGTTGTGCCTCTTAAAATATAAATTAGACGATTTACTTGGTATAACGATAGAAAACTTGGTCTTAATAAACATACTGAGGCATTAAAGTCCTACGGAAACTAGTTCAATTATAAAAATTGTTGATTTTTGAAAATTTGCTCCTAGAAAATACTCCGAGTTAACGTGTTCGTTTGTTTTCAATTATGTGTAATAAATCCACTCGGAATACTTTTAATCACTCATAAATTAATTTATATTTTATTGATTTAGTCGATTATTTACACATATCGGGAAGTTCATGTAACTTGCCTTAAGGCAAAATACCAATACCAACTAGTTGGCATTTTTTGGTTAAATTTCGGCCTAAATCATCCCTTACCTCTTCAGAATCTCCAATCTCTGTTCCTGAACACTTATAAAACCATCAAGAGCGTCCACCAAAACGCTTTCGGTGATCAGCAAATCTTCCATTTCGACCAGGGCAGTGTACAATTCTCCTTGAACACTGGATAAAGTAACCAGGACGGTGGTGAATGTGACTAGAATTGGTAGTATACGACTTTTACTGGCCATCTTGGTGGAATTCTGAAAAAAAAATCAAATTTGGGTGAAAAATTTTGGATGAACAACTAAAAACGTGTGACAACTCAGGTGGTGAAGAAAATGCATTTTTTTGGTTGGTGGTTTTGTTGCGACTGAGATGGAATTTTTTGGTGTTAACAAAGTTTGTTTGTGATGAAATTTTCTATAAAATGGTATAATTAAAATTTTTGTAGAATATTCTATAAAGTTTCTGCGAGCATTTAAACCTGGAAAATGTTAAAAATAAAAATGTCATGCGATTTTTGAAGTTTTTTTTTTTGAACTCTGTTTTATTTAGCAATCAGAAATATTAGGTTGTCAAATATCTCCCTTCCGCTTTTTTGCTCTTGGTTTCTAATACAAAAAGGCGGAAGGGAGATATTTGACAACCTTATACATAAAGATTTCTATGAGCTAAAATGGCAATATTTAAGAGCGATGCCTAAGAAGAACTCCAATGAGATCTTCTCAGTTTTACAATATAATGATAATATTATATTAGATCTAATCTAAGACAGAGTCTAAAGGCCATTGTCGTTTCAATCTCCTTATGCCAAAAGGTTGAGTAATGTCAACTATTGTTGAAGTTTGAATGAATTTAATTTTGTTCTGGTTAAGTTAATTTCATATTAAGGAAATATTGAGCAAATTTGTACAAAATTGATTCATCTAGATAATTCTCTAATACTACAAACACCTACAACAACTCGGTATACTTAAAAATCAACATTGCAAATAGATAAGTAACTTGAACGCGTATGGTCACGCATTTGTTTATTATATCCCTTGTAACTTTTAAAATAATCACTTTATATTAATGGAATATTCTGCAAATTTGTACAAAATTGATTAAGAAATAATATTTTCTAATATCACAAGAACCTACAACAACTCGTTATACTTAAAAATCAACATTGAAAGTAGATAAGTAACTCGAGTACGTAGAAAAATGGTCATTGAAAATAGACAAGTAACTTGAACGGGTATGGCCATGCATTTGTTTATTATATCTTTTGTAACTTTTAAAATAATCACTTTATATTAATCAAATATTCTGCAAATTTGTACAAAATTGAAAAACAAATAATATTTTCTTATATCACAAAAACCTACAACAACTCGGTATACTTAAAATCGCATTTGAATGTAGATAAGTAACTCGAGTACGTAGAAAAATCGTCATTGATATAGATAAGTAACTTGAACGGGTATGACCATGCATTTGTTTATTATATATCTTGTAACTTCCAAAATAAGAATTTAATATTGATCAAATATTCTGCAAATTTGTACAAAATTGAATAAGAAATAATATTTTCCAATATCACAATAACCTACATCAACTCGGTATACTTAAAAATCGCATTTCAAAGTAGATAAGTAACTCGAGTACGTAGAAAAATCGTCATTGAAAATAGACTAGTAATCCGAGTACATATGGTCATGCCTTTGTTTATTATATTTCTTGTAACTATCAAAATAATTATTGAATGCTAATAAAATATTCTGCAAATTTGTACAAAATTGAAGAATAAATAATATTTTCTAATATTATAATACCCTAAAGCAACTCAGTATACTTTAAAATTGCAATTGAAGTTTGTATCTAAATTTATTAGCTCTAAGTGCGTTCATTAGTGTATTTATTTATTTTAACCCTTGCAACTTTTAAACCGTTCATCTAATATAAATAAAATATTTGACAAATTTGTGCAAAATTTAATAAAATTTCACACTTGTTAATATTATAATGACCTAGAAAATCTCGGTATACTCTAAAAGAGCATTTGAAAACAGTGTTAGTGCTGCTAATTTAATAGTGACTAACGTGTATTATATATCTTGTAACTTTTAAACAGTACGTCTAAAATAAGTCAAATATTCGGAAAATTTGTACAAAATTAAATTATCTATAATGTTGTCTAATATCATATAACTCTACAGCAACTGGGTATACTTCAAATTGGCAAACGAGTAAAGAATTTTTTTGTGGGAGTACTCGTTTATATTGAAGCTGCTGCAAATTGTGAAGTATGCAATTAATTTTTATGCATTTATTTATTATATCTCTTGAAACTCTTGAATGGTACGTTCAATGTACATAAAATATTTTGAAAATTTGTTTAGAATTAAATAATATATGATATTTTCTAATACCACAGAAACCTACAACAAATCGCTATACTTAAAAATCATCATTGAAAATTGATAAGTAACTTGAGCGCGTATTGGCCATGCATTTGTTTATTATTAGGTTGTCAAATATCTCCCTTCCGCTTTTTTGCTCTTGGTTTAATACAAAAAGGCGGAAGGGAGATATTTGACAACCTTACATATCTCTTGTAACTTTCAAAATAAGAATTTAATGTTAATGAAATATTTTGCAAATTTGTACAAAATTGAATAATCTAAAATTGTGTCTAATATTACAAGAACCTACATCAACTCGGTATACTTAAAATTTGTCTTTGAAAGTATATAAGTAGCTCGAGTACGTAGAAAAATCGTCATTGAAATAGATAAGCAACTTGAATGCGTATGGCCATGCATTTGTTTATTATATCTCTTGTAACTTTCAAAATAAAAATGTAATGTTAATCAAATATTCTACAAATTTGTACAAAATTTAATAATCTGAAATATTTTGTAGTATCACATAACCCTACAACAACTCGGTGTACTTTAAAATTATATTCAAAAAATAGATTAACTTAATTTCTTCTTAATAAATTTTCATTTCCTTTATCTCAAATTGTAACAAAGTCTCATGAAATTAACACTAATTATACGTCCCATCGTATTGTTTTTTAAATAAATTTTCTTCCCAAGTCGTCAAAAAGGTTTTTCTCTTAATTTTCGCTGAAAAAAATAATTTTCCGAGTAAAAATCTTCCCCAGGTGAGGCTCGAACTCACAACCCCGGCATCGCTCTGAATACTGTCTTATAAGTACCGTGCGCTAACCAATTGCGCCACTGGGGACACGCCGAACGCCCGAAAAATTGTAAAAGATAAGCCACTGCCTATTTTCAATGACGATTTTTAAGTATACCGAGTTGCTGTAGGTTCTTGTGGTATTAGAAAATATTATTTCTTATTCAATTTTGTACAAATTTGCAAAATATTTAGTTAATATAAAGTAATTATTTTAAAAGTTACAAGAGATATAATAAACAAATGCATGACGATACGCCTTCAAGTTGCTTATCTATATCAATGACGATTTTTCTACGTACTCGAGTTACTTATCTACTTTCAATGACCATTTTTAAGTATACCCAGTTGTTGTAGGTTCTTGTGATATTAGAAAATATTATTTCTTATTCAATTTTGTACAAATTTGTAGAATATTTGTATAACATTAAGTTCTTATTTTAAAAGTTACAAGAGATATAATAAACAAATGCATGGCCATACCCAATTAAGTTACTTATCTATATCAATGACGATTTTTCTACATACACGTGTTACTGATCTACTTTCAAATGCAATTTTTTAGTATACCGAGTTGTTGTAGGTTTTTGTGATATTAAAAAAATATTTTAGATTATTCAATTTTGTACAAATTTGCTGAATATTTGATTAATATAAAATGATTATTTTAAAAGTGCTCGAGTTACTTGTCTATTTTCAATGACTCGAGTTACTTATCTACTTTCAATGATGATTTTAAAGTATACCGAGTTGCTGTAGGTTCTTGTGGCATTAGAAAATATTATTTTTTATTCAATTTTGTACAAATTTGTAGAATATTCGATTAATATAAAGTGATTATTTTAAAAGTTACAATAGATTTACTGAACAAATGCATGACCATACGTGCTCGAGTTAATTATCTACTTTAAAATGCGATTTTTAAGAATACCGAGTTGACCTAGGGTCATATGTTGTTAAAAATTAATATAGGTAATTCAATTTTACACATATTTACCAAATATTTCATTTACATTAAACCAACGGTTTAAAAGTTACAATAGATCCAATAAATAAATGCACGAATCCATATACATAACTTTGTTTCTGTATAAATATATTCATTCAACAATTTTCTATCAATGTTTACCTTAGCATATTAGTGCTGATTTAATAACAATTAATAATCCCATTAATATTTGCTGATTTATCAAAAATTTGATAGTTTATTTAAACAATCACATCGTCGTGACATGATTCAATAATTTAATTTCGTTGTACAACAAAATATTCCTATTACATGTTATAAACAATTATAGAGCAATCAACATTTTGCAAATATTTTTCAAATCAGCAATAATTTGTGACATATTTAAAATACATATATACATACACAAATTTAAATTATTTCTACAGAATTTTACAAAATTGCAACAAATCCGTTTCCTTGCAAAATTGCGAAAAAGTAAGGAAAGTTGTGCAAATTTTCCATTATTCTCATCGAATCGAATTAAGATCGTTAATTCTCTTGTTCTGAGCTAATTAGCGAAAAGTTAATGAATTATTCAAAGCGGAACTTCTTCTATTTACAACACTAGCTATTTCGACATTTAGTTCTATTTGCTTCGATGATCTCGACCCGAGGCTTGACTAATTGTTTAAAAGATAAAAGATACACTGAATGAGCTAAATTATTTTATTATGTAATTATTTTTCCAAAAATAGATAGTAGTAGAATCGCGTTAAGACGATTGCAACCCGTTTAATACACCAGTCTCTGTGTAATAAAAAACATGTGCGTTTGTTGACAAATTTCTTCTGTAAATTTTAAACTGTAAGTCTAATATTAATATAATATTTAGCAAATTTATTTAGAATGAAATAAGTTACAATATTGTCTAACATCATAATGCTTTACAACAACTCGGTGTATTTTAAAATCGCATTTCAAAGCTGATATTTAGTATAAGACATAATTTGCAATTCATTTGTGCATTTGCTTGTTGTATTTCTTGTAACTTTTAAACCGTTCATCTAATTTGATTAAAATATTTGGTGGATTTATATAAAATTGAATTATCTGTAATGCTGT